ATGCGCAGCATGCTGACGCGGCCCCGGGGGCCGGTGAGTCAGAGAGGCTGTGTCAGCGGAGCCCGAGCTGTGTCGCGCACTGCCGCCCCATCTAATCTAATCGTACAGTAGATAGCGATGCGTCCATATCAGGCATGTAGTACAGAGGTCGCGGGTTCGAGCCCGCGAAAAGGAAAAATTAAAAACGGCTAGACGCCGTACCAACTCGTGACATTACCCCCCCCTCAACGGCGCATGACCTCATGCGAGGCGCCCTTGCCCATCTCCCATCCGGAGCGGCATCGTGCTTCAGTCAGCGGCGAAGGCATTGGCCGAAAGTTGAGACCACCAAAGGTAGTAGCATTGAGGCGACGAGGGGCATTCGGGTTCTTCCAGTGGAAGTCGGCTATGAGGGCCGGCGCATTGGCAACGTTGCACGCCGGCTCCCATGACGTATGCGAGTTGTCATAACCCTTCCACTTGACGAGGTACTGCAGCTGTCGCCGGAAGATTCTCGAATCTTTGATCCGCTCAACCTCGTACTCTTCGTCGCCCTCAACCTCAATGGCAGGCGGCTCCTCCGGCTCCCGGCCCGGGATGTCGCTACGCGTGTACTTGCTAAGCAAGGAGACATGGAATACTGGGTGCACAGGCACCGACTTTGGCAGGACTAATTCATAATCCAAGTCTCCAAACTTTCGCCGCACGGCATAAGGTCCGAGGCGTTTGGGACTGAGCTTCTTGCTCGGCTGTTTCAGCTTAAGGTTTCGGGCATCAAGCCAGACCTTGTCCCCCGGCGCAAAGACCGGTGCCTCCTGCACGTGCTTGTCGTAGTACACCTTCATGCGCTCGGCTGACAGCTCAAGCGCAGAGCGTGTATCATCGCGAATCTCCCTCAAGATCTTGAGCCGATCAGCGGCTGCAGGCATTGCAGACATCGGGTTGATCCGCACTTGGATCTCAGGATGATACCCCTGATGCAGGAAGAAAGGGGAGTGCCCGGTAGCGGAGTGAACTCGGTTGTTTAGTGCAAACTCCGCAAGCGGCAACTGCTTCGCCCAATCATCCTGCCTGTGGCTTGTGAAAGCACGTAGGTACTGTTCAATTTCCTGATTCCAGCGCTTGGTCTGGCCGTCCGTCTGAGGGTGGAACACTGTGGACAGCGCCGGCTCAATCCCTAGGCCCTTGTACACCGCATGGAGGTACTTTGAAGCGAACTGGGGACCTCAGTCGGATATGACCTTGGCCGGGGCCCCATGATGCTTGAACACATCGCAGATGTACAGATCTGCCGCACCCTCTGCCGTCAGGGTCTCATGACAGGCCGAGAAGTGGACCTGCTTGGTAAAGCGGTCGGCGGTGACCAGGATCGAATCGAATCCATCAGACTTTGGCAAGCCAACAATCATATCGGTTGTGATGATCTGCCATGGGCGCTCGGGGATCTCGTTCGGCTTCAGCGGACCCTGGGGCTTGGCTGGGAATGTCTTGGTACGGTTGCACACGTCACAGGTGCTTACGTACTCATTGACGAATTTGGACATTCCTGGCCACCAGTAGTTCCGCGATACGAGCTCGAGGGTTTTGGCACGACCGCCGTGTCCGGCGATCGGCGAGTCGTGGTGGATTTTGACAATGTCCTGCCGGAGCTCCGCGTTCTTTGGGACATAGACCATCCCGCGGAACAGCAGAAGCCCTTGCTCGGCATTCCACTCCTCAAAGCCTTTCTGCAGCCTAGGTGGTCCGAGGTTCTGCACTTTTTCAAGTGCCTCGGCCACAACCCGATCCTTATCCGAACACTCCCTGATGCGCTTCAGAAGCGACTGATCAGCCGTCACCGAGGCATGACCGCGCCTAGTGGAGGCGATGCGGAATCTCTCCGGTTTGAGAACCACCTGATCAGTGTTATCGTCCTCATCGCCGACCTGATGATCTGATCGGCGTGACAGGGCATCAGCCTTTCCATTCGACGTTCCAGCCTTATGCATGATGCGGAAGTCGAAGCGAGCCAGGAACAGTGACCATCGCGCTTGACGACGCGTGAGGTGCTGTGATGTGCGCCAGTACTCGAGGTTCTTGTGATCGGTTACAATCTCGAACTGGTTGGGTAATCCCTCGAGGTAGTGGCGCCAGTCTTCCAATGCCTCGATGATCGCAAGCATCTCCTTATCGTAGATCTCGTAGTTACGCTGGGCAGGGTCCATAGCGTGAGACCGGAAGGCTATAGGATGCCATTTGCCATCGTCCTGCTTCTGCATCAATACGCCGCCAGTGGTGTAGCCCGAGGCGTCAACCTCAATGCGCGTTTCTCGATTTGGGTCATACAGCGCCAAGACCGGAGTTGTGGCAAAGAGCCGCTTGAGCTCATCGAAGGCGTGCTGCTCTTCCTCGCCCCAATGCCATGGGTCGTTCCCTGTGAGTCGGTCGAGTGGTCGCGAGATCTTGGCGAAGTCCTTAATGAAGCGGCAGTAGAAATTGGAAAACCCCCGGAACTTCTGAACGTCTTTTTTGTTCCGGGGTACCGGCCACTCATTAATTCCTTTTAGCTTCGTGGGATCCATCACTACCTCATCGCCACCGAACACATAGCCGACGTAGTCGACTTTGGGAATGTCCCATTCACACTTTTCAGGCTTTAGGAACAGATCGTTGTCCCGCAGGCGGCGGAGGACCTCGCGCGTAACCTTCTCATGCTCCTCTTTGTTGGTAGAGAAGATGAGTATATCGTCTAGGTACACGAGGATCTTGCCGCCGACAATGAGATCGTGGAAGATCTCGTTCATCATCGCCTGGAAAGTCGCGGGGGAGTTGGTGAGGCCGAAGAACATCACCAGGGGTTCGTACAGACCCCGGTTAGTTACGAAGGCCGCCTTCCATTCATCACCGGCTTTGATCCGGACGTTGTTGTATCCCCATCAGACGTCGAACTTCGTGAACAGCGTAGCGCCGCGGAGTTTGTCGATCATTTCGGCGATCAGCGGCAAGGGGTAGCGATTTTTAACCGTGATCGCGTTCAACCGACGGTAGTCCTGCACGGGTCGAAGTGTCCCTTCCTTCGTTTTGATGAAGAAGAAGGGGGACGAGATAGGTGACTTCGATTCCCGTATGTAACCCTTCGCTAGCTGTTCCTTTAGGAACTTGTCAAGCTCCTCTTGCTCGTTGTTCGACAGGGGATAGACCTTTGAATGGAATGTCGAGTAGCCGGGCACGAGTTCGATTGCATGATCGTACGGCTTCCTTTTGGGTAACCGTTCTGATGCTTCCTTTGAGAAGACCTTCAGAAACTCGTGGTACTGTTTAGGCACCGACTCCTCGGCGGTTTTAACGACTTTCTTCTTGATCTCCTCCTCAGCGAACAGCTGGGAGTACGTATGCCCGGCTGCGATGAACAGTTGAGGGGCGCCAGGAAGCGTAATACCTTGCTCCCAGGCCTCAATCAAGTCGGCTTCGTCCCACTCGACATCTACCGGATCTTCTTCGGGTTCGAAGTCCGGTAGTACCTTACTCCGGCAGGCACCTATGACCGACTGTTTGGACTTCGACGAGCGCCTGCGCGCCGTGGGCCTGACCCCCGTATCACGCGCAGTTGCTGCTTGCTCCATCCGGCCAGTCCTCCTGGCACTGCACGTTTCAGGGCATCGGGATAACTTTAGGGAGCCTTCCTCCCAGTTGATTTCGGGGTTGTGCTCGCGTAGCCAATCCAACCCGACGATCACATCCTTCGGACCGATGTCCGTGACCGTAAACACCGTTTTTTCGATGTGTTCTCCTATGTGCATCTGTAGCACTGCTACTTCTGAGATGCTTCCGTCCTTATTCAGGGTGCCATCGATATTATAGAGCAGAATGGGCTCCTTCAGCCTCCGCGTCTGCACCTTATTCTCTACGATAAATCGCTTGTTGATAAACTTCGTGGTGGCTCCGCTGTCCACCATAGCGATTACGTCTTTGTGCCGTCTTTTCCCTTGGAGTCATACTGGAATGTGAAAATGCTGGGACCCCTGGTCCAGCTCGTACACCATTGCAGTAGACAATACGTTATCCTTGTTACATGAGGTACTCGGCCCGACGCGTGCGGCACGAAGCGCGGACCGGATCAAAAAGACTCCTCCTTCATTGCCCGATAGTGCTCGAGCTCCTCGCGCATCGACTTCATCTGTGCTACTAAGTCCGCCAGCTCGGAACTTTCCGATTTCGCTGAAGCGGCGCTTGTACTCGCCGAGGATGAAGCGACGGGGGTGCTTGTCGCAACCTGGGTGGAACCCGAGGCAACCGTAGCCCGTGTGTCGGCGCGTTTTGTGTAAGGCTTGTCCTTACAATTGGGGCACTCGAAGTGTCGGTACCCTTGCTTCCCACAGCCATAACAATTGCCGGGGAAATTGCCTTTTATGACGGCCGCATTGATGCTGGCCGAAGCTCCGTGTGACTGGGGCGCACCACCACGTGCCCCGCCGCGTCCTCGACCTCGAGCCTAGAAGAAGCTGTTCAACTCAGGCCGACGGGCCCGGCTGATATCGAGGATCTGTTCGACCTCCGTAGCGCGCTTCTCAGCGTCTTCCCACGTGGTGAACGTCTCGAGCTCGATTTTGCGGTAGATGCGGGAGGGGATGCCGCTCAGGTACTTGTCGTGTAACTCCAGGTCCCCATACCCGGAGCGGTCCGCCGGACCCTTGAACAGTGCGGAGAACTCCGCCGCAGTGCGTTTTTCACGGATTGATTTGTCCGCGCAGAGTTTGGCCAGCTCTACCTGGGCCGCTGCCTCATCGTCGAGGTTGCCGAAGTGGGCTTTGAAAGTCGTGGCAAAGGCCGCCTCATTTGCGAAGGGGGTCGTCACTCCCTGAACACCGAGTTGCACGGATACGAGTTGGGCGAAGTATGGAGTGGCCCAGGTGCGGGCGTCACCGTCGAGCAGGCTTAGTGCAACCTGCACCTTGAGTTCAATGGTGGTCAACGACGTGTTGACCAGCCAGTAGATGCGCAGCTGCGACAGGAACCTGTCGCACTCGATGACAGTTCTGCCGTCATACCAGAGGGGAAGGAGAAGCTTCAGGGTCTCCTTGTCGGGGGCGGTCGAGGGAGACGACATTATCGGCGCCGGGGGGGACGGAGGATGGCGCGGGGGCGGAGGCGGCTGTGGTGGCCCTCCGCTGGTCGGACTTCGAGGGGAGCGAGTGCGCGAGCGGCCTCGCGGCGGAGACAGCGGTGAAGGCGCGGGAGGAAGCCCGGGGGCGGGGTTACATACGTCAGGGACTGCTGACGCAGGGGCGAGCGCTGTCGGCGAGGCGGGCTGAGCAGGATCCGTGGGCTCGGGCTCCGAGACTCCTTCTTCACTCGCACTCTCCTCAGGCTCTTGCTCTGGCGCAGGGTCTGGAGGGATATCTCCTCGCGCTTGACTTGGACCGGTGACCGGTCGGGGAAGACGGGAGCTGGGAGAGACAGGGCGAGAATGCCGTGAGGCGGATCGAGATGCGAGGGTGCTTTGAGGACCGAGCGGATGTTGCGCCCTTCGGATTGCTTTGTAGCGCGAATAGTCCTGGTTGATTGATCGAGGTGTCCGATTTGGGCACGGCTGCTGCTCGCAGGTGAGGATAAGGGCGTCAGGACCGTCTGGGATGTAGACGTCAACGAGGTCCTGAGAATCGAAGGCGTGAACGAGGCCTTGGCAGGCAGCCACGTTGGATGGGGGGAGGACGAGGAGGTGCGCGTACTACGAAAGGCCGTTGTAAACTAGCTTACACCTACGGCGCCCGGGATGACACTGAGATTCGCAGTTCACGTAGGGCCCAATACTGCTTTTGGCTAGTATGCAGCAGGAACCAAGGCTACGCGTCCGTGAGGACAAGTACCGCCCACTGAAGTGCAGGTACTGAAGAGTTCGTCTCTCAAGTGTTGGTGATGTATCGTAGGCTATCTACGTATCGTAGGGTACAGTAAGGGTGCGCACCACCCGACCTATGGGAGAGGGAAGTGAGTGTGTTTGTTTTGGAACGCCGGCAGCGTTGGGGAGTTTCAACCTAATGTTGCGACTTAGGGTTAAGCAACAGGGGAAAACTTAAAGCTGGGGGCGTTCGACTTGTCTTACCGAAGCGATGGTGAGTGAGGCTCAAACCTAAGGCTAGGGACAAGTAAGTTAGTATTGAAAGGTAAGTAAGTACAGGGGCTTACTGACCTAGGGACAAGAGGTCGAAACTGAGGTCCCTAGGGCAGCAGAGGCAGGTTTATATACAGGGGAAGTTTAGGGGAGGCTGTGCGCACTGGTCCGTGCACAGCTGGTCCATGCGCAGCATGCTGACGTGGCCCCGGGGGCCGGTGAGTCAGAGAGGCTGTGTCAGCGGAGCCCGAGCTGTGTCGCGCACTGCCGCCCCATCTAATCTAATCGTACAGTAGATAGCGATGCGTCCATATCAGGCATGTAGTACAGAGGTCGCGGGTTCGAGCCCGCGAAAAGGAAAAAATTAAAAAATGGCTAGACGCCGTACCAACTTGTGACAGCATGTGGGCAATAACAGGGAGGCGCTCCTCTGTATACATAGCAAGAAGTGACTCAAAGGGAGAGCTCGCCTCGACCAGAGCGAGTTTCCAGCTTAACTACAGCTGGATTTCAGAACACTCTCACAGTATGTCTATGAGAATGGCACAAGACGTACAACATCCTGAACACTGGGGTTCATTCCCTTTGTTACGGTTCTTTCATTATGGACGTACTATTCGGACCACAGAACCCTATCTCTATTTAGTTACTATATATATCCTATGTTCTCCCATGCTTATCACGGACCTTACCTATGTCACAGATATGTTCACCCTTTCACAGATACGCTCTCTCATGTAGTATGTAGTGACTCATGCAGTTTGTACAATATATAAGGAGGCTGAAGCTGAGGTCGTTCCTCAGTCTTCAGTTGGCCATTCAAAGCTAAGATCTAGCCGTGTCACCCTTCATGCAGTTTGTATTAGTATTTTTTGATCCAATCTTATATCCGCTTTCATTAGTATTGAACGAGGACAGAGTGTCATGAGTGCTACCTGGCCACCCGCCGGACTATGTATACGAGCAGCATCTACATGAGATAAGTCATCTTCACGCCATTCTCGTGCAGCCGCTGACCTCCTGCGACAAAGACTTGGCCTTCGGAAAATTTGTCAACCATATGAACATTTAGACTAGACACAAGTTAGTCGAGCACTAAGCAGCAACATATTATGACGCACTCATAATTCGATTTCCACTTTATCTCGCCGTAGATGAGATCGTCTCTATCCGAAGTTTTGAGTGTCTGAACCAGGAAGTCGCCGTCGTCGTAGATGTGCTCAAGATCGACGTCGCCGAAAATGATGACTGCATGGATGTAATCATCCTCCATCGAGTCCACTTGTCATGATACAAGCGATACTTTTGCATCGGTTGCCTCCGCCAAAATGGCTTCCATCACAGTGGTTTAAACCCCGCTGTGGCTGACGCAGACCTGATGAATTGGGCAGCTACCGTTTCATAGCTGGTCATCCTAGCAGATAACTAACGTCCTGTATTCGTATCCGAGTCACCCATCCAGAGTCCAACCTCGCATCGTGTCTTGGGTGCTTAGATCGGTGCAGTGAGCCAACAATCCATCTAATCCGGAGGCTTGACCGCCACGTCACTCAAGATGACTCTTTAGCTTCTACAAGTCAGGAAATGTCTCTGCGATTACAAGACTGTCTTGGTTTGTGAACACTGTAACGCTGGCATCTTGCTCTTCCTCTGTCGCTGCTCGGGAATACGGAAGAAGACCCCTGGAACCCGTTTCGCCGGCTATTCGCATGCTCTTCCCTAGCAAGCGGACCTTGACCGATAACGGGTATGAAATCGAAGCTCACGAAGACCGCGCCGCAGATAGAAGAGAAGGCGTACCGGAATGTAGACGTGGGGGTTGCCCGTCACGCGGTACAATGTGCCGAATATGATGCTGCGGGTATAGGGCAGCTCGGTGAGCGCATGCATAGGAAGCATTGAATAGCACTGACCCCATCGTATATTCTAGGGGCCGAGGGGGGTCTCTGTGCACCTCGCCAAACCCACCTGGACGGAAGATGATCACCTCGTGGTACCCCATATTCGCGAGTTTGCGTTCGGTGAGCCCTTTACTCCTACATACGACGGGTGCCATGCTCAGCCTTGCGGTCCCAAATTGTCAGGCTCCCTTAGCAAAAACACAATCCACACCTAAAGTAAGGAAACCGGCAATGAGGATTCGCCCATATCGACTAGCCGCAAATCAAATGTTGGAAACAGTATTGTGGAGCGACTACTCACGGAGATGTATACCAGCCGCTGAGCGTGAGTCGGGTCGTGCGATTTTGCCGCCTGCGCTGCATTGACAACGTACCTATGTGCTGCGCTGTAAGCGGTATTAGCATTGCTCAGGAGCGAAAGCACGCACTCCCTGTCAACCTTCTCGAAGTCTACCCAGCTTCCCGCTGTCCTGCTACTCTTCCCCAAGCTATAGCATCTAGCCATGAGCATGCCTCGAAGTTCATCAGACTACGGCGCTCACGAACGCGATGAATATGACATCCCAGTGACCTTCACGCAAGTCCGCTTTATCGAGCTGCTCAAAATCGATGACACGTTGCTCGAGCTTTTCGTGGCCGCGTGTCATTTGCTCAGGCGGGGTCACTCGCCGGCCATACTCCCCTACGCGGGTGAAGCGCGGCGACGCGAGCACCTCCTGAAGAAGACGGCTTCCCGCGGCACCGGTGCCTCCGAGAACGAGACAAGAGAGACCTCGCGACCTGTCAGATGCAGGTGTGCCGCCTAGAACGAGAACATACCTTGCATGCTTAGCCGTTTACCCTTGCAAGCCCTTTAGTCACTAGCCTGCTTTGAAACCTTTAAAGAGCGAAGATGCAATACAAGAAGCTCACGCTTGTACGTGTGCGTCTACTCACGTTAGATACGGGATGCGTGCGCGATGCCACGAAGGCTGATATATGACCCACCACGTATGGAAGTGGCTGTAGTGGCTTCTATTTCCCAGCCTGTGTACTTCGCCCGCAATGGAGCGCTGCGTGCCGCGATGGCTAGGATTCTAATCGGCGGCTCTTTGCAGGAAGTAATGTAGGGTGAGGGTATTCATCGAATGGTTCCAAGAATCATCGCTCTTTGACCGACAAAGATGAAGATGGGCCAAAACGACAAGATGCCGTGTATGTATCATCGCAGTTTTATCTCATTGGTGAAGCCGAAGGGCAAGCCCCGTCATCTAGCAGTAGTAGACGAGCTCTTGAATCTTGATGCTGGACGAACCTTGCAATTCAAGTACGATGTAGCCAATGATCGTGTGCAGCCCTGCCATCGTGCCGGTAACCATTAAATCGGTATTCATGGTTGTATATTAACTACGGTGAACGACGTCGTCCGAAATTTGACCATGGCACGCATAGATAGAAGCATCCGGAACGAAGTACCGACAGTTGACAGTTGATTAGACGCCTTAATACTATCTAGTCAGGTGCTCGTATAGTGCTCCCCGAGTAACCGCTGACCTCAGCTCAACGTGCGTAAGATGCTTTCCTCACTGGATGGGAGACTGTCCAAGTAACTGTGGAGATGTGGGACTTCCATCATACACTGTGCCGGATATGGCATTCGTGGAAAGAATCAGGGAGTGTCACGGCAGCGTTGTGGTCTCCTGATGCAAACGTTCATTTACAGCGGCCGCATGCATCCCCGAAGCTCTGGGGACGGTCCAGATGACTCAGCCAGACTGGCGTTTGCAGCAATCTGGTAACTCCCATCCGAACAGATGCGCGTGCCTTGACTTCTGTCAAAACTCTAACTGCTCCTGGGAACTTCAGGAACGGCCTGCCAGGAAAAACAAAACAGCGGCACGCTATAATACTCGAGGCGTCCAAGAGATAGTTGGCGTCGCCAGTGATCTGACTTCCGCGAGCGCAGCTGACATCTTGGTCGATCCTTCCATCAAGCGGCCGCCCTAGTAGTCCGGTAAGTATAGTGCTCGGTTGGTTGCCATTCGCTGTGCTGAGGGTCTGTATTTGCAGATATGTCGCTCGCAAACGCAACAAACCCGTACGCGCCGGGTGAGACGGCTGCAACTATCTACGCCGAGGAAACTTGGCTACAAGGGAACCTGCTCAGCAACATCGCCTACGGCGCCGAGCTTGTGCTCTTCGTCATGTGCGCTCATGTCCTCACACAACAGATCTCGCGCTTCCACCGCACGCGTGAGATGGTGCTGCTCGCATTCGTCTCGGTGATCTTCACCCTCGGGACACTCTTTATGGGCGCACAGGCCAAATTCACGCAGCAAGCGTTCATTGAGAACCGTAACTTCCCTGGAGGCCCAGCAGCGTACGAGGAAGTCATGTACTCAGATCCGGTGGACGAAATCGCGAATGTGTGTTTTATCGTTGGCAACTGGCTCATGGATGGGTTCCTAGTATGTCTGACACTTGTGTTCCTCCTGAGTGTCATCTGACCATCTGTAATGCACAGGTATGGCGCTTCATGGTGATTTATATGGACTTCGGAAGGTCATGGTTAGTGATCCTTATGGCCCTCCCATGCATGATGCTATGCTGCTCTGTCGGTAAGTGCCTGTTGCCTGTTCCGCCTTGTTTCATTCCTGAACGCATGGCGTAGGCCTCGGGATCACGTTCCTCGTTCAGACATCTGCCTCGTCACCCTTCGTAGACGTGAATATGACGCTCGCCTACTATGTCATGTCGCTCGCATTGAACGTCATTGTCACGATCTTCATCACGGGCCGGCTCATGTTCTACCGCCACCGCGTCAAGCGCGCTCTCGGCGTGACGCATGTTTCCACGTACGCAAACGCCGCGGCGATCTTCATCGAGTCAGCAATGCTCTACGCTGTCTTTGCAATCCTCTTTCTCGTCCCCTTTGGTCTGAATAACGCACTAGGCAATGTCTTTCTACAGACCGTCAGTCAAGTCCAGGTGTGCTCTTTATTTTGCTATCTATGCGTGGTTTGATCTTAACGGGCCTTCATAACAGACGGTATCGTCACTCATGATTGTCTACCGCATTGCGCAAGGCCAGGCGTGGACGGAGAAAACGAATGTTGAGGCACTCACGAGCGGAATCAACCTGCAGCAGTTGGCAACTATGCAGACTTCCAAGGACCCAAACACGCGCCCAGAGTCGATCGCATCGAAGGATGATGGTAGCACTGCTGCCACAAGCGAGCGTCGTGCGAACGTCTCGGAAATGGTGTAATTGTATTGTTGAGTGATCCTTGCTGTATAGCATGTCATAGTTATCGAGTAACGTTCATAGTCTGTAGATGACCCTGTGTTGTATGTAACACGATATATGAATAATGACAGTAATGATCATCATCTGTTCTTATGTGCTGTGCTATGCAGCCTGGTACTCCCTCAAGATCGTTGAGTGTTTTATCAGCGGGAGAGCACAGCTTATGCTAACGCCGGGAATGAATTTATGCCGCATACGAAGATGTTTGCATCAGCCTATGTGAACCACCGTTCAACCACAACGCTAGACGCAATCCCCACGAAGTGTCACTAGTCCCGACATTTTATAGGGAAGGTACTGGCTACTGTTATTTTCCCCCGGACAAGGAATGATTTCAAGAGTCTTCGAACGGATCATCCTCTTCCGAAGGGACACCTTGGAGAAGGTAAGCTGATCTGTGCCCAAGGGGTTGGGGGTTGCTCCTCAAAGGCGATCGTACAAGGTGTGATCGCCGACGGCTCTACTCATATACGTGACATTGAACAGTAGGGCAATATCTTACAACCGTGAAAGGGGGTTCTGTGAGAATATTCCGAGGATATTGTGACTCTGACAACTGTACTTCGTAGTACTTCCCTGTTTCCAGAGCTCGCGTGCGAAGTCTCGTACTAAGTTTGAGCCTTCTGCACCTGCTTTGCACACGCATCTTGTGCAGGTGAGGGCCCGGTTTTTGCATTTGGGCGAGCATAATTTGCATGCTAGTACTATCTGAAGATCCTGATACAATGTAGTAGCGCAATCATACCCGTATTTGTATGACCAGCGGGCTGTCAAGGGACAATACAGCAAAAGTAATTTAAAGGGAGTTTTTCCATGGACATTATCGATGCCGCCTTCGAAGTGTAGTGCGCAAGGCACGACTCGGCCATGATTCGGCGTATTCGTGGGTCCATCAAGGAATAGGAGGTAATGTGCTGTCGCCACATAAAGTAGCGTCCCCTGTCTCCGACTATTCTGTGTGATGCCCCATACATGGTATTTTAGAACGACCAGTCACCATGACATCCACTCAAAAAATAGGTGCGCGTGATAGAAGGAACTTAAGCGCTCTATAAGCGCCTGTTGCCTAACCTCTTGACAGTCAAGTACGTCGTACATACAGGATTTCAAGCTTCAGCCTCGAATCTGTTTTATAGGATCACTCTCCTTTTTAAACCTATTGGGCTGTGTGCCTAGCCTTACAGCGGTGTCACTCCTCCTTTGGACGTAAGCGTAGGACAACGTATCAATATGAATCTAAAACTGATCATGCCCACTCAAAAGCCCCTATTGATATGGTCTGCTGCTATAGGCATATCTTTCTCCCACATCAGTTCTTACGACGTGAGAGATTCAGGTACCCCCGTTCTCTTACTTCTTCTAAACGAGACCAATCACAAACCTGTCAGAATAGCTCACATGAACACCCAGTTTATATATCACCGAAGCCCGAGGCCACATACACGCTCGACATTTGTAAACACAGTGCGGTTGCGTAAATTGACAGGCTGTCGAGAGAAACCCTAGAGTGGACCTGTGCTATATAATCACGTACTGAAGAACTTAATCGCGACACTGCGCCCATCTCCCAACTTACTTCAACACTCCTCGGTCCTCGACCGATACAATAGTCTCAATTCAGACAGCATCCAAACTAGACGTCGTACAAGTCGCTGCATCACACGCTATGCCCTCAGCGCCGCATCCTGATACATACAAAGCGTATGCCTTCCTCGAGAAGGGCGGTGACCTCAAGCCTATTGACGTCACATGGAGAGACCCACAATCTGGCGAGATTGTCGTGAAGGTCCTCGCGTGCGGAGTCTGCGCAAGGCACGTCCTCGTCGTTCTGGAAGCACCGCTTTACTCAAATTGCTTGTATGTATAGCGACGAACTCACAAAGTGGCAAGTTTTCCCTTTCGTGACGTTCCCTCGTGTCCCGGGTCACGAGATCATCGGAGACGTCGTCGCTATACCGGAGACAGAGAAGATCTGGAAGGTCGGACAACGCGTCGGCGCCGGCTGGCACGGTGGGCACTGCTCGACATGCTCTGGTTGTCGGGCAGGCAATTTCTCCCTGTGCGTACAGAAATCCATAAGTGGTAAGTACTTCTACAGTAGAGTGACCTACCTCCAATGCTTGAGATCCCCAGGTCTTGTTACCGACGGTGGCTACGCGGAGTACGTAACCTTGCGTACTGAGGCCGTTGCGAGTGTCCCCGACGATATCGACCCTGCGGAAGTGGCACCCCTGATGTGTGCTGGGGTATCGGTCTACAGTAAGTCTTCATTTTGGGATATTTCGACATCATTTTGAGACAGAAGACAAAGCCGCACTTCGTGACATGAACGCTCATGCACCTGATGTAATTGGAATTCATGGAATGGGGTATATGTTTACTTCTGTTTGCGAAATCGTAATTAATATGAATATCGCTTGCCAGAGGCCTCGGCCACCTTGCCGTACAATTCGCAAAGGCGATGGGATTCCGTCCTGTCGTCCTCTCTTCCACATCTGAAAAGGAGGAGCTGGCCTTCAAGTTCGGCGCGTACAAGTTCCTCGATGGATCCAAAGTGAACCAAGCCGAGGAACTTGCCAAGCTGGGTGGAGCGAAGGTTATCCTCTGCCTCGCTCCGGACGACAATGTTGTACAGTCCCTTGTCAACGGTCTCGCGCCAGGTGGCGAGTTCTTTATCCTCGCTGTCTCGCAGGGTGGAACTGTGCCCCTAGGTATGTGATGTATAGCTCTCCTAGTGACCGGACCATGATAATCAACACCTAACGTCAGGCTTGTTCGTTGGCAAGAGGCTGAACTTACGCACGGGCGGCGCTGGGACGGCCAAGGAAGAAGAAGAAACGATTGACTTCGTGGGAGCGCATGACATTAAGGTCCTCGTGAACAAATTCCCGTTGGCAGAAGCACAGAAGGCATACGAGCACAGGTCCGCCGCCCGCTTCAGATCGGTTATCATTCCGTGAAGTGTTGATACAAGTGTTGATACAACTACGGAACGCTATCCCCCTCCATCGTGTACTTTTGTTCCGTATTTTCTGTACTTTTATATACATTGACACACAATGTTAGCTATAACTATCGATGAATCACGTTGTTCCTGACATATCACTGGGTCCACTAAGAATTTGACTATTTACCCTTTGCCTATTGATATATCAGTGTCATCAGGTTGTGAAGATGTGCTACGCGATAGACTTTGTATGATGATCCTACAGGATTTTCATGGGAAATCACTTGTCGAGCAATTCACGAATGCTACAATTCCTATCTGTGAGCAGACAAACATTGATGTTAAATTGAAAATGGCCGACTCTGAGCCAACGCATTAGCGGACCGACGGACGAGGGGTCAAGATGACAGGGAGAGAGCCTCTATGCGTAATGAAGTAATCTCGGAGCTCCGTTTCCCAACATTGCTTGTCATATCCCTCTGCAAAGCATACATCGAAGGCCTGCACGAAGTAAGCAATAACCATCCGTAGCTGAATGAGGGCCAGTGGCTTCCCAACACAATTGGCAGGGCCGATAGAGAAAGGAATGTAAGCGTTCGTGTTCACGACGATGTCCGTATCTTTGGCCAAGAGCCATCTCTCAGGCCAGAAGCGGTCAGGGTCTGGAGCAAAGTATCGTGGATCGCGTTGATATACATATGGCGCCGCGTAGACGGCCACGCCTTCAGGAATGAAGATGCTACAAGGATGAGCGTATCAAATTCTGGAGTTCACCGATTGTGTTACAATCGAAACAAACCTAGAGCCGAGCATGTGCCCGCCGCTGCCTTCAGTGGGCGCCCGCTGCAGACAGGTTGCAATAGGAGGATGCAGACGGAGAACCTCGTTACTATCGACATTTTTCAGTTTTCAATTTATGTACGATGCGAAATCGTGACCCACATAAACGCATTCAAGTATTCCATACGCGACAGCCTAGCGGTATTGATCGGCTCTCCCGCGTTAGGATGGAATGCACTATCAACCTCCGCACGCAGCCTCTCGAAACATTGTGGATTACAGAGCAGCTCGTAGACAGCATTCGACAAGGCAGACGCCGGACCGTCAGAGCCTGCGATGACGGCTATGACGGCGCTCCACAGAACGAGAGGCGCCGGGGGCGGGTTGGAGTCCATTTGACCTTCCTCATTCTAAGGCCTGGTTCAGATACTCGGATGGTTAAATATGAATGAGGGGCTCACAAGGTAGTACATCAGGTCGCTCTGCATCGGCACCTCTTTCATACGCCTGATTGCTTGACGAAACGCAAACTCGCCTAGACCTTTCATTTTACCAAAAGCTAGACGGAACAAGGTTGGAGAGAATGATATAATGTCAAGGCACCATGGTATATGCTGCGTCAACGCAGCAATACTGCGAATATGGCTTGTATCAGTGTCCAAGGAATGAGCGTCAACTGAGCCACTGACTAGGTGCCAGCCTCCATGAGTGGTACTAAGCCTTCTTTGTCACCGTCGCGCATGAGTTCAAAAGCCCCGCTGAAGCTATGTTCGCGCGATCAAAAACGAGCTACGATAGAAGACTTGATATGGCTCACACGAAGTCTCCCATGAAGTCAAGTCTATCAAAAGGAGTGGCACCATCTTCCTCGCAAGCTGAACTATATTCTGTATACTCACGAGAAATAGCCGAGCCACAAAGCCAGATCAACATGAGCTCGTCCCCCTTTGCCGTTGATGCACTTTGTCCTTAACTCATCTATGAGCTGTGTCGTGCGCCTGATGAGGATTGGCTCGTATGTCTTCACTGATGAGGAGGTGAATGCGCGATTCCAGCTCTTCCGTGCGTCCGCATGCTGCTTTAGGTCTCGTGCACCTATCAGGTTTGCCTTAATGAAGTCCATGTCCATGTTCCTGTTTGTCCTCCGCCCATCCCACACTGGACGCAACATAGCGATCGGCCAGGCTCTCAGCACGAACGTTCTGCGCGATAACGGAATAAGCACATACAAGGCCCTTTAGGCATTCCTTGCGTGCCAATGATTGATGGTAAGAGGGTATCATCGACGATCGACAACTCGTTCGGGCCTGAAGATTCGCCGGCCAGATCAGTGCTGATTCCGCTGAAGACAGACGCGCATCTACCTAGACGGACAATAGGCCCGTATTTCTCATGCACTTGTTTGAAGTATTCGTTGAGCCTGCCCCGCGAGGACTTGTACACTAACCACAACTTTGAAAGCTTGCCAGCTGTGGGACCCGGATACTTGTACAGCGGGTGCAGCGGAGACAGGCGGTATAAGGCGGTGAGCAGAAGCAGACTTATATAATATGTCGCATACGACGCGAACACAGAACAGACAATTGATGTGAAGGGGAGACCATGCACAGCGATGGGGAGTGCAGGCCCTACGCCCAGAAGTACAACCAGAGAGAACGGATCGGTGGGTTCTAGCTTCTTGAACCATAAGTATGCGGTCTCAACGGGCAGAAATCCATGTTAGTTGCTATATACCGCAACATGAGATACTCACATACAGATGCAAATACAGATGCCAGAACGAGCGAGTCTGCGCTAGACATACTGTTGAATTCAGTACGCCACTTGTTCGAGAGGACGCCCTTCGCACATATGGTTGAGCGATGATAGAAGCACAAGAGAGGAAAGCTCCCAGATACCACCGCGGCGAAGATGATTGAACTAAAGAACGTACATGATGGCCCGTGAAAGCGTGTGATCCCATTGACATTAGGACAGAATCAGTGATAGCCGCCATCCAGGATGTGGGTCGCTACTGATGTCTGATCAACCGGTCATGATCGGCTTGTGATCAGTGATAGACTGAAGTACGCAGTTGATTCTGCTCATATACTCCAAGCAGCTATAAGTACACAGAGTAATCATCCACTTTACGTTGTAGACTTATATTGTGTGGGGTCTCTATGTGGACATCTGGACCGTGGAGCGCAGCACACATAGACCACGCGCGCCGTCCAATATATTGAGATATTGACAGCGTGTGAGGCTACATTGTGAAGAACTGATACGACACCACCATCATTGTTTGGGCGTCTTCTTAACTCGGAGTCTTGCGTAATGCAGAGCGATCTATATTAGTGACGTAGAGTATGAGAACTAACTACTTACTGCCAACGCTTCACAAGTTGCGGAAACGAACGTCATTGAACCAGACCCTTACGCCCAGTTGGAGGTCGTGTACGTCGTGACTTTTTTCAATTATCTGCAATCTCCGAGGATGGCAGTAGAAGCTCCGTCCTCTTGCATCAGAACAGACCCAGTTATTGGATCCGTGGTAACACTGAAATCCGATCTCGCTGCGAAGCAATCCGGGAAGCTATCGGTCTGGAAAGTAGCTGCCAGTGTTTCGCATCAGAACGCGAACAAGACGGGAGGTAATAATTCAAGGCGAGCCTCCGAGTCAATCTAAATGGGGTAGATCTGATGGGTACTGACATAATTATGGAAAGACCATTGGAATCCCGTAAAGATCTGCTGCTGAAAGCACTTGAGGGAACGACGGCGACGTTGTGGCGAATAGCACGGGGAGGTGGATTCATTACTAGGGCGATTATGAACGGAAGCAAGCTTGTCGGAAGATGCCGTGGAAGGTATTCAAATTCAACTAATACAACCTGGGAACTCCTCCATTTTGACAATTTGCATTTTTATGGCACATATCGCACAAATTGGGAAGATGTGTGCCGCAAAAAGTGTACTAGTACTGAGTACTGATGATGCAGTACTAGTACACGTTCTGCTGGCAACTCTGTATTCCCTTTTTTTTGCGATACGTGCTGATTTGAATAGCATTAATACTTCCGACATATTTCACGTCATTGTGATGCGGAGGTTTAAACTATACCGGAAGGTACGCAACTTGCGTTGAGGGAATTCTTATTTAGCTTGTTTACTATGAGAATAGCCCCTTGATTTCAAACAGAATCCATACGGGCGCCTTTCGCATTCCTCGGAGCCAGTTTACATCAGGAAGGCACAATGCTTCTTTACTGCACCAGACTGGTGGAATCATGTGAGAACAAAAGCTTTCTCGGGAGCTCCTCGTCGACGCTTCCTACTACCGTCTCCTCGCTGCTCAACTCCTGCCAGGACTAGCAGACATATCTGACTAGAACATGGATGAAGAGAAGTCGTCGTCTCTTGCAGAGCCGCGAGAGATCATTATCGTGGCTTTTGATAGTGACGATACTATCAATCCGAAGGTCTGCGAGGTTGCCAGCTTCTCGCGGAATGTTCTGAACATAATTTACAGAACTGGTCTCGGAAGAGACGCTGGTACATGACCCTCGTCGCGGCGTTCTTGGGATTCAATGCGTAGGTCTCCGTGTTCGTTGTAAACCCGTCAATAAAAAGCAACCATTGCCAGATCTTTTGCCTCTTCAGCACCGTCGGGTATCTCGTCGAATTTGATGAAGACCTTCAACATGTCACAGGAACTAGCCACCCTCACAATATCGCTGTTCATCTTCGGATATTGTGTCGGCCCCCTGTTTTGGGGACCATTATCTGAACAGGTGGGTATTGTCGTTCACGCACATGATGAGTCTGACACCGCATCCCCGTTGCAGTACGGACGGCGGCCTGTCTTTCTTGTATCGTTTCCTGTATACATGGTGAGGGTCTGAAGCAGTCGCAGTCACTACAGGTGGATAATGAACGACGCTTTCGCAGTGCTTTCAAATCGGCTGCGCGCTATCGCACAACGTAGCTTCTATCATGGTATTCCGCCTTCTTAGTGGCATGTTCGCCGCAGCGCCCATGTCAAACAGCGGGTGCGAGTCTCGCATTCTCTTGGGTGTCCGCACTATTCATCTCTACGTGGCTCAGTGCTTTAATTTCGGACATGTGAATGTTCCTCCATCACTTACGAAATCCAGGATATCTAATGAGCAACCACCAGCTGGGATGCAAAGACGCGAGGGATTGCTCTGTCCCTGTTCGTCCTTGCGCCGTTCATGAGCCCTGCTTGGTGAGACGGAATATACCTTATGTGTTAAATGTTATTGAACTCAACTGTGACTCCAGCGGGACTATCGTTTCCGGCTACATATCAGAAGCGGGCATATCGTGGAGATGGCTCTTCTGGATTATGGTCATCCTAGTATGTTGACGTCGACTGTCACCCAGGCCATTTGTTGAATGACCTTCCGTGCTAGGGCGGCATATGTCTCCTGCTCATCGTCTTTACACTGCCGGAGACGTACCCGTAAGCTTTGCGATTCAGTAATGTACTGCACTGTCATAGTCTGATACACCCGAAGACCAGTTATCCTCGCCATGAAAGCACAACATCTGCGCCACGAAACGGGAGACAACCGATATGTTGCTCCCCTCGAACAGGCACCAAAACTATCCATCGGTGCACGTTTCAATCACACAGTCAGTCTACCATTCAAGATCCTATTCCATGAGCCCATGCTAATAGCGACGACGGTGTATATGAGTGTAATTATGCCTGTTACGTCCATGTGCGCAACGCTCCTGGCCTAACCCTATTTTTAGTTCCTGTACGGCTGCATGTACCTGATGTTTGAGGCGTTTCCCGTCGTGTACACTGTTGGGCACCACTTCAAATCTGGTACGCACGGTATGGCAGCGACAGTATTAATCAGCTCACGGTTGTAATACAGGTCCATCCGGACTGGTATGGATTCCAGTGGTGATAGGAACTATTCTGGGAGTCGTAGGAGTAAGTGTCGACTTCATTTTAAAGACTTGCCGTTGAGAATATTCTCTTCAGTACCTCCTAGTATTTCACCCTCGTTACGAGGCAGCTGTGGATAGGTACAAGCCTGGTCCCGTCCCACCTGAGGTACGCCTAGAATCAGCGATATGGGGCGCCCCATTCCTAGCCATCGGGTTCTTCTGGTTCGGGTGCGTAGCCAGTTCTTACTAGCCATAGTAATGCCAGCTCAACATATTGGCCAACACGACTATGCAGATGGACGTCTTTCCCATCCATCTCGTACTGGGCTCCTCTCATGGCAGGGCCGCTGTTGGGCTTTTCAGTCATCTGGATCTTTGTGAGTGTCATGAATTAAGGTGCAGTTGCCCGGCCCTGAACATCATCTGTACAGCTAGCACTTTTTAATTACATTATCGGTGAGCCGTCACGACAGTATCACGTGGGGACTGCGCGATAATGAATTGTCCAGATGTGTATCTCTTTGTGGCAGCGTCCGCTCTCGCCGCCAATACCGTAGTGCGCAGTATCGCGGCCGCCGGATTTCCGGTGCGAGGTTTCACGGAGCACTCTTCCGAGCACGCACTCACCTTCACTCCCATAGCTGTTCGCGTCTCAGATGTATGAACGGCTCAGCCCACCATGGGCATCGACAATTTTGGGTTGCTGCGCTATCATCATGATGCCGATACCGGTCATTCTCCGGCGGTGCGTTTTTGCAACCAGTTCATATGCTTTCCGTGTTGGTTGATGTAGCATAGGTATGGTCCGGCCTTAAGGCGGAAGTCGCGATTCGTGCCCGCGATGAACCGGGGCTGATCGAGAGTCGCCGCACGGAGCGGAATGTTTGTCAGCAGAAGATGAGAAGACTTTGAGATACGACTTGGCTAGAACATCACGAGAACATCATAGAGAATGTAGAGGTACACTTCTCGATGGCTTCCCGCACCCTCAGTTAAACTTAGCACGCCAAGCACCGGCCCTTGATTGCACCCGTAGTGCGCATTCCGTACCCCCCGCAGGATCACGGTGATGTGAGCTTGTAGAATCGCAACTTGTATAACCGCAAATGAACTTCAGGTCGACGTGCGGCCTCTCACCGCTGTCACTTGGGCTCTGTTCGCTTTCCCAGCATAGACAAGACCTTGACCCATGTGGACGTGTTTGTATGGAACGTGCGTCGGCATGCTTTGTGGCGCCGCCTGTATCGGAACATGACACGTAGACCTGGGAATCATCAATGATACTTCCGTGTAGGTATATCTAATTGCCATGACCATACATCATAAACGCGGATCGTAGGACATAGGTGACACATGCGCCGGGGGATAATTGAACTGTAAGACCTCGTGATCACTGCGACCATGCGTCCCAAGACTGAGATGGATCCCGCCTTCATTTTCCGGTTTGGACATTGTCGAATCCATGGTCATGGATGTATGACTTGTGACAAATTGGATATCCGTGGACCTCGCAATTTGAATGCTTCCGACAGAGATGGTTGGCAGCTGCGCGCTCGTGTCCCCTGCCCAAGCCCTTCCTGTCGCGACGCGAAATATGATGAGCAATGATGATACCGTCTAAAACGCATAATTAGATAAGGGACTGGCGCAACCTAAGTCATGGACTCACTTGTACCTGGCTCACGGTTTGTAGAAATACATTGGCAAGACTGCTGCTCAATCCAAAGGGCACAAGGAACATGATTGCAAATACGGTATAGAGCGACGCAGATTCGATAAGGATCGCGGCAATGTTTGTGTAGCTGCTGGCGTGACTCGGTCCGAGAGCTTGTGCGATCTGACGTCGGTGGATGAGCAACCGGCCCACGATGAGAAATGTCACTATGACGTTCAGAGACAGTGACATGACATAGTAGGCAAGGGTGATGTTGACATCCGCGAATGGCGAAGAGTCAGCCGTCTGTACGAGGAGGGTTATTCCCAGTGCTGACAAGGTATGTGAGCGGTTGAGAGGTACATCCTATAAAAACCACGCACCAATAGACGCGCATAGCATCAAGCTGGGGAGAAGAAGCAGCACAGATACCCAAAGCCTGCCCACGTCCTTGTAGATAACGGTACATCTCCACACCTGAAACGCAAGGTTGAGCAATCAGCAGTGCGAGCTGTCTGATATATGTCACACATACCAAAAGAGCGTCCATGAGCCAATTACCAACGACGAATGCTGACACAGATATCTCGTTGGCCGTGATACTAAACATCGTTTGCTCGAATGCGCTTGGCCCGCCAGGGAAGTTACGGTCCTCGATAAAGGCATCTTGCGTGAACTTCGCCTGCCCGCCCATAAACACGGTTCCCAGAATGAAAATCAGGGATATGAACGTCAGCATGAAGAGCTGTCGCTTGTAGTTTCCGCGATTCGTCTCCCGCGCCAGGATCCAGAAGCACATGGTGAACAGAGTCAACTCGATTCCATACGCAATGTTACTCAGCAGCTCCCCCTGCAGCCATGTTGCCTCGGCATAAATAAGTGCAGAGTCCTCATTGGGGGCCCAGGGGTTGGAAGAATTGAACGCCACTGTCAAATTATTCAGGAACACGTGTAGCTGTGGCGGGGCGCGCTGATCGACTCACTGAAGTCTGCAACCTACGCGCTTGTGGGTTTCGTTGGAATGCCCTACCCGTCCCCAGGCCCCAGTCCCTATTATGACACCTTGCGGCCCTCCAATCTGCCTGATGTGCACCGCCCGAGCGTCTTCTTGCGAGGTTGTTCCCCTGGCAAAGATCCTGAGCTTCGTCGAAATGCCTTGCTTCTAGTCTGAGAAGATCCACCGCTATCATTATGGCCGTTCTGGGCAGTCGTGATGAATACTTCACACTGTTTTGAAGATCGGAAGCGATATTGCTGGAGTGAAGATGCATTTCATACGAATACATCATTGGGTTAAGCCGAAAAGAGACATTACACACGGCGCGCGAAGTACAATACAACATGTCCGTCAGCTGCAACGCAAAGATGGCACACCACGATCGTCAACACGGATCACAAGTAGATAGATGCCAAAATTAGGTGCGCACTTCTCATCATACAGATGACTCGCCATCGTCTCGGAACGTCTCGTGGGTGATGGAGACGCATCCAGGCTCAAGAGGAAGATCTTTTGCGGTAAGCGTCGAATTGGCAGCGGTTGAAGTATTGCCCGTTGCAAACTGTATACTGGTGAATTTCTTGAGACGGATGGTATCGCTCCCCGGATTTGTCATTATCTGCGTGGTCGTATCTTCCGCCCATGCCTTCCCGGTCGCGACGCGGAAAATGATAAGAAGTGACGACACCGTCTGCCATGCAGGGCAGTGTGTGAGCATTGAGTCTTGGTTCTTCCACATGTAGATAATCCGCCGCTCACCTGCACTTGGTTGACCGTCTGCAAGAACACGTTTCCCAGGTTGTTTCCTAAACCAAAGGGCACGAGGAACAGAATAGCAAACGCCGAATACATTGATGCGCTTTCTATGAGGATCGCGGCAACGTTGGCATAACATGTAACGTGGCTCGGGCCGAGCGTCTTCGAGATGCGGCGCCGGTACACGAGCAGGCGGCCCACGATGAGCATGGTGACGATGATGTTGAGCGCGAGTGACATGACATAGTAAGCGAGTGTCATATTAACGTCCACGAAGGGTGACGAGGCGGAGGTTTGGACGAGGAAGGTGATCCCAAGCGCTGTTGGGCGACGTGAGATGACGAGAAGCAACTGAGCGGGTCGGACATACCGATGGACGTGCACAACATCGCACACGGTAGTAGTGTCAGCATGGACACCCAAAACCTGCCGATGTCCTTGTAAATAACCACAAATCTCCACACCTGCGAGGCAGATTATCCGGCTGGGTACCCTCTACACGCATGGCCATGACGTACCAGGAACGCATCCATAAACCAGTTTCCGACGATGAAGCACACATTGGCGATCTCGTCCACCGGATTGGAGTACATGACCTCCTCGTACGCGCTCGGCCCGCCAGGAAAGTTGCGGTATTCGATGAACGCCTGCTGCGTGAACTTGGCCTGTGCGCCCATGAAAACCGTACCGAGGGTGAAGATGATCGAAATGAACGACAGCAGAAAGAGTTGCCGCTTGCAGTTGGAGCGTTTTGTCTGCCGCGCGAGTATCCAGAAGCACATCACAAATAGCGTCAACTCGACGCCATACGCGATATTGCTGAGCAGGTTGCCCTGCAGCCATGTCTCCTCTGCATAGACAGTCGCGGAGTCCTCGTCCGGCGCCCACGGATTCGATGAGTTGGACATCGCTGAGAAAGACGTCAGTGGCTGCTACAGGATCTACTGCGGCCACTTACTGACGGACTTGTTGGTGGCGGTGGGACCTGATACCGGGATTGTCGTACTCGCTCCTCGGGCGGCAGATATACTTATAATTGAGTGACCTTGGGAAGTGCCTCAGCGTCTGATAGGATCGCGGACTGCCCGCTGTCCGTCTGCTGTATCAGGCAACGACAACGAAGTTGTTCCAGTCAGGGCGACGTGATGGAAAACTGCCAGCGTTGCAAGGAAGGTACGTCAAGAATAGGTAGCGAGGGCCGGTCAATGTCATGGTCAGTTTCGGGTGCTTGGCAGAATTCACAGGACGTCGAGCGCTCTGCGTGAGGCACGCTGGGAGACGCCGAGGGTCCGTGGGTACCATCAATTATCCTTGTGGCCAATGTCTGGACGGGTGTATTGCGCCCTTGGTCCTGCGGGCTCAGATACTGGGCTCTCCTAGAGGCGTGTGCGGCCTGACGGCATGCGTATATAAGAAGGGCATCCAAGGCCCGACGATGTTGACTTGTTGCTCTAGGCGAGATAGAGGACAGCCTGGACGGCCGCGAGTAGGCATAACATCGACCGCGTTCTTTAGCAGTTTGGATCAAATTGCGGCGGCTGTGTGGGGGGACGACGGCCAATGCTGGGGGTTCCAAGCAGCATTCCCATATCACGATAGTTGCAGGTTAATTGTGGCTCAATATTCAGTCGGTGGTGCTGTGCAAGCCCCTCAAGGCATTAAACAAAACACGTATTTGCGTTCCATGATCTAGCGATTGAAGGCGAGGCTAACCAGAGATGAGGGTATTTTAGTTGCTGGTAAAGGTCGCCGACCTCATCAAGGTTCGGATCAGGCCTCTCTCTTACCACAAAAGGAAACCATGTTTTCAAAATTGGAAAGCACAAATATTCTGACTCGCTCAAATGTTCAGAAACTGTATGCATAGCTCCAAGTGATATTACAGCTTACCTTACAATGCAACAAAGAGCATTGAAGTGCATCTTCCCTCACCAAGGGCCTCACCATGGGGAAGTTTGTGTACACTTTAGCGTTCATTGTCGCAAGTTGTGCATGGGTGCCTATCCCGCGACTGTGATAGATTGATAGTCTGTAACACTGAGCGCATGCACCTCATTGATATGTAAGCTCAGTTGCTTTCAGTGTACGTGTATGCACTTGTGCTAAATAAGTCGTCTAAGTGCGTGGTTTAACAGAGACTCGTGCTTACCACGCCGCGTCACAGGTCGCGACCAAACGCCAGCCACGAACGTCTTTTCTTATACTTCCGAAGACACATCGCATGATGGTCAGACATGCAGATAACACTGTTATTTTCCAGCTTGAGGTTGATGGTCATGTAGATATAGGTCTTCTTTTTTGAATGTTCGTTACTTTGGTCCATCGATCCACGCAATTGTGCCCTGGATTCCACTTGTGCATCTGTGCGTTTCACGTATGATCGTTGACATACAGATCGCCCATATTGAGGGTGTGAGATCCTCCTGCATGCTTGTAACCGCGTGGCAATGCTCTGCGGGACCAGATATCGCATGGCGGGAACCAGAATGCTAGAGACGTCACAATTGCGCATTGATATATACATCACGCCTTACAGGTACAAAGGCAGACAAGTCCTTTACAGAAATACCTGCGTCTCCTTGCCAAGCTCCACATCCACTTTTTTGTCGTTCTCCATAGAAAGAAACCTCGTGGTCTTCTCGATAGGCTCCGCATTCGTCTCGTTGTCATGAGCGATCGATGTTCCAGCTGAGCCAGTGGTTGGAATGCCGCTTGCGAACAGGTCCTCGTCGGTGACTTTTATGCCTGGCTGGTGGTCTGTGAGAAGGGCACTGAAAAGGAAGAATGAACGTGTCTCACTAAGGGACGTTTACGGGGATGCAAGGCTGGAGCCCGTCCCGCGCGCTCCGTCGATATGATCTCGCTTGCTTCAGCATGAATTTCCGCGCGTTCGGACATTCTGCATTCCTCTGTGATCAGGTAACAGGAACTAGACAAGGCAAAGCCACAATGTACGTACGTTGCAATAAATGAGTTCGCATACACTTCACCGTACGATCCGAATGCGGTCAGTAAGTGGATTTGCACCATTCGTCGTATTTCTGGTGCACGCACATTTTGCTTGTATTTGTATTAGGCCTGCAAACGCCAGGTTGTCCTTTAAAAAGGCGAACTAACAGAGGGTGAGTAACCAGGGAACCCAAGATCCGTCCCAGCTCACAGTGAACATGATAGACAGAGAGACGAGCCTATATCAGAGTGTCAGAGAAGTATATTGGACAGTCTAGACTCAATGCTTACATAGTTAGAGCACCAGTGTTGATTACATAGGACTGAATGAGTTCGACGACGTGCATCGACCTACGAAACATGTTAGCAAGTAACAGTGCGCGTGTGAGGTATAGATATCGTAACTCGCTAGCCCGTCTAGGAGTCTTCAGCCTGTAAAAGATCAAAGACACAGCGACAAGGAGATCCACGGCAGCCCCGAGGCAAAGGCTACAAGTCAAGGTTGCCTTCGCCAGTAACAATCATTAACGCGTGACCTGACCTGTCTAGTCTTGTATGCTTACAAAAGATCCTTCCTCCGTGTTGAACTGTGCGTAGGTGGTTCGCTCGAAGCTAAATGATGTTCATGAGATAACAGGGATACTATACGGAGTGAAGTGACTTACATGAGACCGACAGTTGCTGCCAGTGCATAAGACATCAGTAACGAGTTGTCATATGTGAAGTAAGATCTATACCGAAACCAAACGCTGTAATGAGTGGTCAGATCCCATGGCATGGTTTGTAGTACAATGTAACATACTTATCCGCGCAAAAAGCAATGCTCCCTGAGCCTCTGCTCAGCTACATGATCGACTGAAGTATATCATCAACTCACGATGCAACCGCATAGCCCCTTATTCTTCCTACTGGCTGAGATCGAACCGTCAGGCTAGATACGACCCGAAAGCTAGGCATGGGCCTACACATCCAGACATGCCGAATATAGAAGCTACCCAAATCACAATGAGCACAGTGTTGTAGTGGCGCGGGCAAATGAAGGACTTGCCTTTGCACAATAGCAGACAGCGATACCTTGTTTAAATTCAATGTTAATGTCCGCATGTGCATTCCACACAAATCGAGCTGCACAGACTTCTGTGCCCACCGTAACCTATTAGGCAGGTCATTTAGCGCGTTCAGAGACTGCGTTGAACAGCGTACAGTTATCGGCCTGATTGATTACATTCAGGATCAACTATCCACATGAGATAAAGTTCAGACGACGTACCACACAATATATTGAAGAAGTTCGAGCTGGCCAAAGTCGATGATGATATAGCGATATATTACGATGAGACAGAACACCGTATGGATAGTATCCACAAGCCTACACATATGGTTCCCGGACTGCTGTCGGAAGGTATGTTGAATACCACCTACCATACAACGGCAACTGTTCGACGGTGTAGCTTCGTATCGTTGATATAATTCAACCAGTAGTTGTACATTTGGGAAGTCGCACTGCCATAGAGCCTGATGGTAGGAGCGTTCAATAATTCTACCATAGCAGCACCAGAACCAGAGCCAGAACCACTCACAACAATGCAAAGCAGAACAATCCTAGTAATGTTCCTGCAAGGCTCTCGACGGCGCTAGTCATAGCGAGGGCAAGCTTGGGAAACCAGGGAAGCACTGGGGCCCCTATGCTGTCATTTATAAGTGGGTGAACAGGACACTATTTAAATTGTATTACCCTATACAAGCGATACATCATCAAGGGAGGTCCCAAGCGCCAATCTCCAAAAGATGTGAGATGTGAAGAGTCCCTGAAGACGAAGTCAGCGTTCTGTCGAGCGGTCATCTTGCCGCACGAGACGCACCAATGAAGCTCACACTCTTGGCTCGGATGCCGAGAAATATGATGCATGCCAATTCAGGGTTTGATGCTGAGTAAAATATCCGCTCCCTCGGGATAGACATGGTATGAGTGTAACGTTCAAGTGTTGTAAACGAATGTGTTGCCTCATCGAGGCTCTCGAAAGTCCCACGGTCATCACGCCTCATCGAGGAAGCGCACATCTTGTCTTGATATTGATCGGACCTCGCCACAACAGATGCAGCAAGATGTGCACTTGATCTCAATATGTCTCTCACACCAGTGTCATCACGCTAATAGAACATGCCATGATGCGCAGCACGCCAGCGAAGTAGGAGCACGAAAATAGTTGACAGGAGGCATACCCGCGTGAGAACTCATTCAGCTGATATATTCGGAAGGCAATCGTTAGTTATTCCATGCTTGCCCCTGTGCACTATCATGTACTTATATCAAGACTCACGGGCACGTTGGAAGGCATTACTAACAATTTTGTAAGTGAACTTGCGTTTCGGCTCCCACGTATTAGAGATCTCAACCTTACAAGCTTCGTGCATCATAAATAGATAATGACGTGCCGCCAGGACAAGCAACGTTGCAAGCGTTGACATTACCTGGCCATAGCGCCATGCCTGTTGTTGAGAGAGACAACCAGCCACGCATACACAATGCAAATATCCCACGCATGAGCTACAATGACCTTGCTTGGTCCCTGACGGCAACAATATCATGGAAAACTCGTGCTTATAGAGCTAATCGCTGGTAATATATCTCTAGCTTTGCAGTCGTACACCAGGCGAAAGGACTAGTAATACTCGGACACTGCCAGCGAGTAGAATGGTAGAGAAACGTAAGGGTGCTACGCAAGCATATGCTACCATTGATCGCTTATTTCACAATTATTAGGCGCAAGCCACGTTATGCCATCTATTAGTCCGGACGGGTCTGTTGTTGTTTACCTATCTGTGCAGCGTTGCGATCACAATCTGATAGTACTATTGACTGCACTGATGGCAGTGGCCCTGGCGCGTAACGCAGTCGCACGCATATGACGCGGCAAGTGCTTTTGTGAGTGTTTTATCGCCTTGGTGAATGACTCGCCTGCAGATGGTTTGACAGCACAGACCACCGCCGTCAATTGTTTTATAACCTTAGCTGCCTTAGCTGCCTTATCTGCGTTTCCGGAATGGATTGGAAATGCACGGCAAGATATCACAGCACTGACGCGTTTGACACCCGATCTCCATCTCCCGCTGGCCATCTCGTGGTGCTCTCAGGGCATGAAGGTGATTAATTTGAGTACCACCGGTATCGACAGTGATGATGCGATGGCGCGTTGGAATCTGGATCTCATCGATGAACAGGTGTGCTCCGACTTCAGGACGCACTCGTATGACTTTGCTTCACTCGAGCTCAATTTTACCCTGCAATTAAAGTGAGGATTTGCGCGACGATGAATCTTGTGGAGAGATGTCCTCACAAAGCGAAGGTTATGACATGTAGCACAGGTCGTTTCGAAAGGTTATGATCCCTTGGTGTGAGAATACGTCTGTTCAATTATCTGCCAGCGACCCTCATTAATTAAGTTTATCCTCTCACATCCTTCGAGTACTCCCCCACAAGGAAATGCATTGCATTATTTGGACCGTGCTCGGGCAGTTGACGGGACATCTCTAGTCAGAGCAGTGCTCAATCTCACGACTGACGGTATGGTCGCCTCCGTAGAGCCTGGCACGCTGGAAACCGACTTGGCTGGGTTCAGTTGTCCATAGAAAGTGGGATCCTATAGATGCTAGCGTCTCCGAAGTTCGGTCCAGGAACAGGTTCGAACCCTTTGAACCTTGAACCGAACCTTCGGTTCAGGTTCGGTTAAGCTCGGTCCGTAGATTTCGGTTCAAGGTTCAGAGCCATTAAGGCATTGCCTGAACTGGGTTTGGACCGGTCCGAACCGCGAACCGGAATCAGGCCTCAGTTCTCGCAAAAAAGGTACCCAATTAATTTTTAAATACTAGTTTATGTAAGTCTAATCGATGATATCGATGATCAATGTCTTTCCACAAGGCAAGTGCGCGTGGTGGCACCGTGATGTGCATGCCCCGCCATCCATCAGGGGATGCCATTCGCTGCCCAAATAGGCAGCCTTACATAAGCTGTCATTGGTGAATGCGACAACCTGCACATCATTGCACCTTGCATATCCATTTCAAGCACTAAGTTATCCTTTTACTCTTTTTGTGTGCTGTAGTTATAACTGACCCTGAAACTTGCAACTTAACATCTTTTGTATGACCAATCAAAATCTGAAGGTCCACGAGGTTTGAACCTGCTCCGAACCTTGAACCGAACCCGCTGAACGGGTTCAGCAGGTTCGGTCCAAGGTTCAGTCTGGTTCAGGCTAGAGGTATTAGGTTTGGTTCAGGGTTCAGGGCAAAAGGCCCCCAAACTGAGCTAAACCGAACTTCGGAGATGCTAATAGATGCAGGCGCTGGGGATACTCAAATGTCCAAAGATGTGGTACTTGAAGTGGACCGTCTCCGGTACCTAGCTCATGGCAGCAGCTTTTATGTATACAATATGCGGCATGGTGAGTCCGTATCATACTTCATCATCGCCTGTCTAAGGATTCAGGTCCTGACCGTGTTACGTGGTCCTCCACCACATCATGAGGGCACAACAGATTGGATCCCGGTACTTCCCTGTTCGGTGATACTCCAGTGTATGAGATCCGTGCTTCTGACATGGGTCTTCATTGAAATCTCTCGTTGATGCCGGCAAATTTCAGTATGCACATCGTCTCATTGCTTTCGGCCTGATCTGACCAGGACCACAATGTTTGGGCTCTGGCTTAGCTTTCACTCTCCCATTTTGTCTGATTGAAGACTTGCTCGCTAATTGTACATTGAAACTGACATGTGATTCATAAAATCTCGACCACTTTGTCAAAATGTTTTCAACTACACAGACCGCACGGCATGAGGCATCGGGCGGAACTTGCCGTAACTGCAGACCCAGTGGTGGTCGCTGTGTGTAATGTTTCATGAGCCCCAGACCTCAGTCGCAATGTTTTTGGAACCCAATCCATAGTGAGTACCAAAGTATACGGCGTGACAATGATAATATGATGCTGAGGAAGAGGAAATCAGGTGCTACCAGACTTTTATGGACATACCTAATCTAAGTGCTGATCTCGATATCCAGGTAGGTTTTAGTTCACTCTCATCCCAATGCAAAATGTACACTTTGATACTACAGAGCCAAGGGTCCCTATAACAGCCATCTTCTGCATAAGTGGACATACCTTTGGTGTGTTTTGTATATGAGATGGGTGATACATGTAAGAGTGAGCACATGAATGTTGTCCTACACCTGTAGTGTATGGATGTAAACCTCAGTACGGCGCGCGAGCGGGTGCGTGCAAGACTATGCATACCTGTAGTGTACGGACATAAACTAACCGTATCAATGAGCTACAGGGCAAATATCATAAAGGTATGTAAGTACTCACCCTCAGTACGGTGCGCGAGCGGATGTGTGCAAGACTGAGGGTGCAGGTCACGAACATATCGTATAAGTAGCTAAGGCATAAGGTACCGGCACATATTGTAGGGGACGGCGGCAGAGGAACAGGAATGCAGGTGTTCTGTTACATGAAAGGCAGCATGCGCGCCAAGCCAAATGTGGCGTGGCGTGCAGATCAGAAACAAACAAACAGAAAACATATGGGTATTCTAGATGATGCCAGATTGCAGTTCCAACACTCCCCCTCAATCCTGCAGGAGTCCTAGAGCTGCGGCGAAATGCTTGACCTTTGGACTGGGGAGCGTTTTTGTCAGCACGTCGGCAATCATGTCATTGGTAGGGCAAAATATAAGGCAAAGCTTCTTTTCTTCAATGATCCAGCGAATAAAATGAAAACGAATGTTGATGTGTTTAGTACGTGCGTGGTATTGATTGTCGCAGGCGAGCGCAATAGCAGATTGGTTGTCGGACATCAGGGGAACGGCGTCAGCATATGGTGTGAAACTTTGGCCAATAAGGGAACAGAGCCAAAGCACCTCTTTCGCAGCGTGAGTAATGGCCACGTACTCGGACTCCATCGTCGACAACGAGATGAGCTCCTGACACTTCGAGCTCCAAGAAACGGCCGCTCTGTCAATGAGGAAGGCATAGCCTGAAATTGCCTTGCAATCCTCGTGCATGGACCCATCAGCATCAGAATACCCGATGAGGTCCAACGTCTTCGCACCGTAGGTGAGCTTCAAGGTCTTCATACCAGAGAGGTACTGAAAGACACACTTAATGGCCTCCCAGTGGGCTTGACCAGGGTTCTCCGAGAAACGCGAGAGAATAGAGATGGCATATGTGATGTCGGGGCACGTTCTGAGCGACGCATACATGAGCGATCCAACAGCTTCGTGATATGGCACATCGCACATGGCGGCGGCCTCGGCAGTGGTCTGAGGTGACTGCGCGGCGGTCAGCTGGACATGGGGTTCCATTGGGGTCGTTACGGGCTTCGCATCCTCAAGATGGAATCGGCGGATGATGGAGTCGATATACAACACCTGCGACAGTGAAAGCGTGTGGTGCGTTCGATCGCGCTCGACGACGAAACCAAGGATCCAGTGGATCTCACCTTCGTCGGTGATCTCAAACACCTCACGAAGCTTGGACTTCACTTCGTCGATCAGGGTGGTACTGGACGTTACGATCGTCAGGTCATCGACATGCACCACAATAACGATCAGCTCAGCACCATCAACTCGGAAGAAGACGGCCTGGTCAACATCGCACTGGAACACATGCAAATGTTCCTGCAAAACGCGCAGGAGCTTCTTGTGCCAGTGTCACGCACTCTGCCGGAGACCATACAACAGGTGAAGCAGGTGCAATACGAGAGAGTGGTCATTCGTAAGGTGCACACCTGATGGAAGAGCCATGTAAATGACCTCTTTCTCTTCGAACTCTCCATGCAGGTATATGCTCTTGATGTCCACCTGATGGACCTCAAAATCATGGCATGCGGCGAATGTGAGAGCTGTCCGAATGGACGCAGTCTTCGCAACAGGAGCGTATGTATCGAAGAAATCCACCCCGGGTACCTGAGAGAAACCGCGGGCAACCAGTTGCGCGCAATAACGGTAAACATTCCCGCTGGCGTCCTTTTTGGTGTGGAAAACCCAATGGCAGCTGATGATGTTCGCGTCAGGCGGGGGACGTTCTAAACACCACGTACCATGCGCCTCAAGAGCATTCAACTCCTCCTGCATCGCTTCCTGCCAGCGCGGCCACTCCGGTCGCTGTTTTGCCTCCTCAAGTGAGCGCGGATCGAGTCCCTCGATGTCTGCCATTTGCGCTGCCATTGCAACCCCACCAATCTCTTCATCAAGCACACCACTCGCATCCGCATCAGCCTCCTTTGGTACCAACTCCGCGGGCAACTGGACGCCTTTCAGTATGTTCGTGGGTGAAGCTCTGCTGCTTGCAGACCCCTTACCAGCGAGAATGTCACGGATTCGCTGCGACGGCTGATGCACGTGCATCGGACAAGCCAGCGGCTCAGTATTTAAGGGTGCAGGCACAGGTGGTAAGTCGGCAATAGGTGTGGGCTGCAGTATGCTGTCTGACGGCTCAACAGGCTCAACAGGGGGTGCAGGAGGAGACAGCTCAGGCTCGAGCTTGTCATCACTGGGCGCATCATCCTCCCCCTCAAGATCGAGACCATCGTCGGCAAGGACAGCAGGGAGGTCAGGGTCGCCGAATGCGACATTCCGCTCAACAGTGACTGTATGGCGATTGGGCCAATAAACGCGATGGCCATTGCTCTGGTGATCAAAACCGACCCAGCGTGTGGACTTGGCCTGCACACCGACCTTCCCAGAGTCAGTGCTATGGACCCAGACCTGATGCCCCCATTCCGGCAGCATGTGAAGGTTCGGAGGCTTGCCCACAACAGCTTCGTAGGGTGTGCGTCCACCGAGGGCCTTTGTCGAGGTTCGGTTCTTCAACCAGATGGCGTGCATCACAGCCTCACCCCAGAGGGAACGAGGTAACCCGGACGCAATCAGCATGGCATGGGTCTTCTCCATCAGCATCCGGTTCAGGCGTTCGGACACACCAGCTTTGGCACTGGTATCATTAACCGACAGCTTCGCATCAATGCCGTGAGATGCGAGGTGAGCACGAAAGTCGTCGCTGAGGTACTCTCCCCCACGATCAGTGTTTAGGACCTTGATACAGGTGGCGCAATGGACCTCCAACCATACCTTGAAGTTCTGAAAGGCTGCAAAAGCCTTGCTCTTCAGACGCAGCAGGTAAAGCGTTGAGAAATGAGTCGCATCATCAGTAAAGCTAATATAATACCACCGTCCTCCCAGTGTAGCGATCCGTGCAGGGCCCCAAATGTCCGAGTGAACCTCCTCGCCAAACTCTGCAGCACGCTCTCCCTGACGCTCCTTTGGCACGGGCTTGCGCGTGGACTTAGCGTGAATGCATGCTTCACACACCTCCGGCTCGTCGGAGTGTACTAACTTCACACCAGTCACAAACCCCTTGGCAACAAGGTCGCACACAGCACGGGGCGCGATGTGACCGAGACGGCGGTGGAGGTCCATCATGGAAAGGTGCTCTGTGGCAATGGCAGCATGCGTGGAGGCCATCTCGCACTCGCGTGTGATGATATACAGCCCCTGCATCTTCGGAATAGTGCCAATCATATTGCCACTGCTGCCGGTGATAATGCACTTGCCTCCGGCGAAGGTCACAACATACCCGGCATCATCGATGCGGCCAATTGAAATGAGGTTGAAACCGATGGCCGGTGTATACAGGACATGGGTAAGGTGAATAGATGAGGGCGATGGCTCGTTTGGGACGGGAATGATCAGCTCCCCGACACCAGTGGCCTGAAAGTGTTGCTGATTAGCGGCATTTAGCTCCCGTGGCGCGATCTCATGAAAGGTGAGGAAATCTTCACAGTACGGTGACATGTGGTGAATAGCACCAGAGTTGTAGAGGTCGACAGGCTGTGACGTCGTGGCAGCAACAGCAGCGATGGTCGCGAACGCAGAGGCGGGCATTGAGGTAAGGTCAGCACCTTCACCAGTCACCATCTCACGCACAAGATCATCCATCCATAGACGAACACCGGCAAGACATTCATTGACAGGCACACGCGCAGGTCGAGGTACATCGGCCTCAATTCCCTCTGATGAGTCTGACTCTGTATGCAGCGACGGCATAGAGTCGGCAATGGACTCCTCGGTAAGGTCAGTGTAGTCCGAACCATCGTCAGCGGACCACAATGCATCGGGGTCGACAGACACCTCACTGTCAGAACCCACATTGAACAGTGGAAGGAAAGCGGACCATGCGCCCGCAACAGCGTCAAGCTTTGAAATGGATGCAGCAACAGCAGTGGCAATGGCTGCTGCTGGCTTCAATGAGTCCGTCTTGGCAGCGGGCGGCTTGGCGGCATCCTGCTTGGGACTTGGACACTGATGCATTCAGTGACCCTTGCCCCTGCAAGTCCAGCAGACCCCAACGGGCCTCTGTGGCCCATGCTTCCCTTTCAGCTTCTCTGTTGAGATTGCAACAGCGGCAACCCCGGGGTCCTTTGCCTTTGCTTTGCCTTTCCCAGCATGGCGGTGATCCCACTCCTCCAGCGCCAGTTCCATCAGCATCTCCGCGTCGAGGATTGGCTTCTCATTACTGAACATGGTTGTACCCATTGTCGCGATGGCGGCAGGCATGATTGATGCCGCAACAGCTTGCTGCATGCGTGCAGTGAGCTTGGCTGTAGCCGAGAGTTGAGATACGAAAGCGGAGAGATCGTCAGGTAAGAAGTTAATAACAAGCGAAGCATACTCCATCTCGCTGATGTCAATCTCCATGTTGACAAGCTCCTCATAGCGGATACGGTGATGCGATCTACGAAACCCTAACCCCTCACCTGGGTACGACCTAGGTGGACTAGAGGCGGGTTATTTGTCTTAGTGAGAGGGGAGTTAGCAGCAAGGTGTCCCGCGGTTCGAGTGAACACGAGAAACGCCCTCGGAAAAGGCTACGAACACTAGGGAAGGTACGAGGTGGCTCGACACGTCGTCGAAGCTACTCGAAGGCTGTGGGTAGTTAGCGGGGGTCGGTAGGGACGATCGAAGCTCGGCAGAGCTCTTCGATGTATCGTAGAGGAAAGAGACACGATTTGATAGGGTGGACTTAGCTAGGACGCGGTTCGCAGTTTCTTCGACAATAGTCGAAGTCGAAGGGTTCGTCGAGACGGTATCAACGAGTAAACGCAGTAGACGAGGTTTCGAGGTTACGCAGCGAGGGACGAAGTGACGCAGTTAGAGGCTTAGACGCAGGGCGAACTCGACTTATGAGCTCTGAACTCGAGGGGGGAACCGGATCTTCTATTTTTAGAGAGAAGTACGACAGGTTTTATACTACACAGGACGCTACGACTATTCGAGAGTGGCACACTGGTACAAGGGGCTTTGCATTGTTCCTCAAGAAGCTGCCTCACCGAGTGGCACGCATCAAGTCCATCGGTAGAGTGACATCATGCCGAACACGGAGATGAAGGGCAACATATGGCCACTTCGGACCGGTATCCGTCGTTGAAGGCATGTCGCGAGGTTCGATACCTAATCGGGAAAGACCGGCTACTTCGGTGTGGCTTGGAGCGAAGCGCGCGCTTGGCCGAGCGGCGTTAAGTGGCCCTATTGTTCGCCGAATGCGGAAGATGTCCCGGGATCTACGCGCGAGGCATCGGGACGACCGTGCCGAGCTTCGAGTAAGCGTCGCGCACCGTCGAAGGTGTCGAAGAGCGTCGAAGGCG